TCTATATATATACTCCCCTAGTAGTGTCCTATTTCTAGAAGTGGACACAAATAACACAAACAAGTTTTTCTGGTGAAACATTTAAGTTTTGTGTAAAAGTGTGTGAGACAAACGAATGTGAAACACCAGTATCAATCAAAACATGTGCAAAATTATTACAAATAATGTACGTACCCTATATTACGTCTGGGTTAACTTCAGCATCCTGTTGAGTGAGGTTGTAAACTCTACCTTGGATAGGAGGTCTGACCTGATTTTGGTTCCGTGGACACTCTCTGGTGTAGTGTTGGGTATTCCCACATATGCGGCAGGTATTATTGAGACGATAGTATGGTCGGTCCCTATGATCCTTACCACAGTGTTAGCAAGTCCTACCGCGTCCTACTACTGGAGTCTGAGGAGGAGCCTGAATCACTGGCCTAAGTATCTTGTTCTGCTGAGTCGATGCAGTGGGTGCTGATCTACGGTGTGAAACTGGGGGTCTGGAATTTTCCATTGCTGGAGGAAAGATGCGAAAGTTTCTCTCCACTAGCTGCCTTGGTTAGAACAGCTGAGTAAGTACTGAGCTTAAATACGTACAGTTGCTGTCTGATCTCAGGGTGGATGCCCCACTTGAACTTCCTTACCTTTCTGCATTCATTCATTATGCTCTCAGGGGAATACTAGCCCAACTCTAAGAACCTTCAGACATATTCCGACACTGTCATCTCACCCTGGGTAAGGTGTGTAAACTTCATTGAAGTGTGCTAAGAGGTACTCTGCATTGAAGGCCATCAGGAACTGTTCCTAAGTAACTGGAACGGACAGGGTAGCCTGCTTGAGCTGCCACCAGCAATCTGCCTCTCCCACAAGCATGTAGGTGGCAAGTATAACCTTATGTTCGGAAACTACCCCAAGAGTTGCGAATGCCTTCTCTGTCTCAGTTAACTAGAACTTGGCCTCTTCAAAAAAGGATGCCCCTGCAAAGTTATATGAGTTTGGTCTCTTGTACCTTTCAATATAATCTAGATCCATCATGGATGGAACTGGATCTGTAGAAGAGGAACAAATGGCCCTGTAACGGTGCCGGATGATATGGTGGAAGCATCGGGTCGTACTGCGGCGGCACCGGATGATGCGGTAGAGGCACCGGATTGTGCTGTGGTAGTGCCGGATAGTACGGTGAGGAGCAGGGTTGCACCGGGGTGGCTCCGGATCTTCCCACTACAAGTGCGCCTTAACTTGTGGTAGCAAGGGAGAGTCAGACAACTCCCTCCTTTCCTCCTAGACCTACTGGGTAGAGATGAGTCTCTCCAGCATCTTAAAAAGTCGGTGAACATACTCTTGAAGTGAGCCATCTCGGGCTGCTCGGTTTAGTGGAAGTCTTCATCTCCTCATTTCTTGTACCTGCATTTCACAAGAAAATGTTGAGTATTAATTTTGAATTTGATGTTTTTAAGTTTTTGTGTAAGAAATGGTTTCGAGAAACGTGACTCTAACACCAACTGAAACAACCCGGAGCTATAAAAGAAATAAATTCATAAATTTAACGTGGAAGCGTATAATAATGTCAAAGTTTACATTATTTACACATAAATTTGAATGCCTGATAGGGCCACGAGAATGTCTTTTAAATAACAGTTCATAACAAAAAATGAAATAAATATATAAAAATAGTAAATAAATATTGTAGAGAGGTTAACCTCTACTATCTCTTGATGGGATCCGAGGGACACCTACTCACAGCTCTCCTGTTGATCAAAATCTGAGTCTTAATTTTTTGATATGAAATGGTTAATAGGAATGAGTTACACTAACTCAATAAAAATATCAAACTACTCACCGATTCGGAAACTGAAGGTTGGTAAAAAAAACATAAAACGAGTAATAAAACTCTTAATTTAAGTAAGTTTATTTATCACAAAGAAAACTATTTATTGTATATTTATTGTTATGAAATTTTCAAAATCAACCTATAAAGACAATAACTCAAATGACATTATGATTTCTTATGTAAGTGAGTAAGAACAACAATTTTCCATTTTTTTATCTGTTTACTGGTACCTCTGAGGATCCATAGGAATGTCCCCCTACGCGTGAACCCAATATCTAAACTTGTCGATTATCTGACCGTCTCCATACCCCGTCCGGTATAAGGGTGAACCGGACTATCCTCATACCTTATTCGGTATGAGTGCTAAAAATACCATCCCTCGATACCCCGTTTGATATGAGGTGATGTTCACGGTAGGGTTCCCTATGTACCCGTTCCATCCACCATATCTCAAAATATCCAGTAAGACAACCATTTATTAATTACAACTTCTCATCTGTATATTAATTTCACGTTTCACAATAAACTGTAAACCACGCAAAATAAGCGATATATATATCAAGAAAACACAACTGAATTATTTAACTCTTTCAATATATTATCATGTTTTTAAAACTGCATGAGCAAGTAATCAGTTAAATAGGACAAATAAATAACTAACCGATTCAAGCTCCATTAATAACCTGTAATTATTCCCAACGTTTTCTAAATTATACAGAATACCATATTATTGATTTTTAACCTTCAATTCCATAATAGAGAATAAGGTGAGGGATTCTTACCCGAATCAATATCCGAAACACCGTATTTTCTACCACGCCTCCTGTTGGTCTCTGGATTTTTTGAATTTTCTTGCGGAAATTAAACACGCTTAATGTACCTAAAAAATACCCCAAAACCCAAAATTGGTGTTAAAAATTCATTCCGGCCAATTTTGGGATTCTAGCACGGCGGCGGTTTGCCTTAGCCTGGTTGTTTTTGGCCTGTTTCGGCCGATTTTACACATATCCCTGTAAAAACACGTTAGGGAGCCTCAATTGGCCAAAAAAAATTAGAAAATCGAAAATTACCGGTGGTAGGGTTTCCGGTGCGGCGGTTCTGTCGGCTCTCCTTCGCGGTTGGGATTCCTCATTCGGTCAACCTGTAGAAAACAAAACAGTAAACACAACGGTGGAAAAATCACACGAAACAGAAACTGAGAAAGGGCTCATTGGAGGGGGTTGCGGCAGCCTACCGGGCTATTGCAGTTTTCGGCTCACCCACCGTTTTTTTATTCCAATATGGTCATAGGGGTACTCGGAATCAAATTCTGAGCGGGTAGGAGAATTTTTACCTTTTTTGGAGGTCGGAGGTGGCTCTAGTGCGGCGGCAGTCGGCGGTCGACTCCTTCTCCAGCGTCTGGTTCTTCTCCGGCGGGGGGCTGATAGTTAGGATTTGGATCTATGTGATATGAAATATTTATACCAATCCTGCGTTAATCTGAACCATCCATCATGATCGATCTCGACCGTTCGATCGCGCTTAAAAAGAAAACGAATCTGAACCGTTAATCATGTTTGATCTCGACCGTTTGATTGCGTCTAAGTGGGAAACAAATCTGAACCGTTCATCGCGTTTGATCTCGACCATTCGATCGCGCCTAAGGGAGAAACGGATCCGGACCGTCCACGAGCGCGGGATCGATCCTGTACCGTTCGATCGCGGGGCATGTAGATCGCCAGTGTGGCCTCCCACATGGCACCAACGTCAGTGCACCTGACCATGCGACGCGCTCCAGTTCGTCGAGACTACTAACTGGGCAGTTCTAGATAGCCGAACTTTCTCTAATTGCACTTTCATCCCCTATTTTTAATTTTTCTTTCAAAAACACCCACCGAACTCAAATTTTCACTCTCTCTTCCCAAAATTATTTTCAATTTCTTCCCTAATTCGTTTTTTTCTCAAAAATTCAATCAAATTAAAATAAAATAAAATATTTTAATCATTATCATAATCTATAAACATCATTTGGGGCCAATTTTCGAGTCCGGGTGTTACACTACAGTTTAGAAAAGATATGGGTGGCCTCTTTGCTCTTTTAATGGACAGCCTTAATTATTTATATTTATTTTCTTCTAATTCCTCCACAATTAATCAAAATATTCTTATTTAAAAAGAGAATATTCTATCTGCGCTATTCTAGTCAAAATCTTCTTAATTTTTATTATTTTCTCATTACACACAAAATTAATTTTCTTATAGTTTTTACCATTAATTCAGAATATTTATTTTCTTATAATGCATATAACCTACTTTATAAATAAGTTTTCAGTTCACAATTGTAATTAATCAATTTTGAGAATAATAAAACTATGAAGTTTTATTTTTCAACTAATTAGGTTTATTCAACCTTTTTGTTGAATAAGAATTGATTCAACTTATTAAGGTAAATTCTTGTGGTGTTTTATTAATTTTCTTTCGAATTAATTTCTAACTTATCAAATTCATACTTGTAGCATCTTTAATCATTTCAAACTATTCCAATTACCTTAGTTGACATTCACGTGTTGAATGTAGGTCAAGTAGGGAGGATTTGTTGAAAGTTTTATGATTTTGAATACTAATGTTATATTTGGAGTTTTTTTATCACGTTATTTGATTTTAGGTTCCACATCAATATTCTATATTGTAACAAACTCAAAACATTTTCTTGAACAGTACCAAAGCAAGCAGAAAAAAGAAATGAATGGAAACACACACACATGTACACCATGTACTAGAAATTGATTAAGCATGCAAAAGAAAAAGACAAATATAAATGGAAATCTACGTTATACACATGCAAATGCCTAAAAAGACAAGTATTACAAATCTATAAACAAGCTGAAAAGAAAGTATATGAAAAAATACACACGCAGACATGTAACTAAAATTGATAAAGCTTCTTACCAACTCCAATTTTTGCATATCTGGTTTGGAAAACCTGCTTACAAATGGCATTAGTAAATTAATTAATTATGCAAATCATCCATGCCACTAAAAAGTGTTTTAGCTTACAGTCAGCTCCCACCTTAAAGCCAGTGTCTCCTGGATTAAAATAAAACTTTTCCTGATAGCCTGAATGGGAAAAAAAAGGAAAGAAACAACGAAGTAAGCAAACTTATGTAACCAAAATCTGAAACTGAACTCATTTAGAGCTCATTCTTTCCCCCCCACCTGGTCCATCAGGGATATGGGACTTCCTATATAGTCCAAGATCAGTCCCATCAGCATCAATTATGGCCACTGAATTATAATGGGCATTATTGGCCTCTTCAAAGAAGCTAACTGGTATCACGACACCCAACTCCTTGGCAAGTGTTTGTATCCTACAAAGAGCAAGCATATGCATAAATAGTTCAACTGCATTATTTCACATAAATCTGAATTATAAGATCCATTTCATAGTCACTAGACCTAGTCATGATTAGTTAAGAAGAAAAAGAATATTCAATGAGTCAAACAAGATATAAAAATCAATTACAAGACAAAATTTTACTTGGAAATTGTAGGATTGTTGTTATAAGAATTAGCTCGCTGAAAGAAGTCCTCCCTTTGTGCTTGACAGAAGTAATATCCCTCGAATAATTCCTGAAAGCAACATAAGAATGTAAAAATGAAAGCCTAAGCAGCAGATATGACGGAAAATTTCCTTTTAATTTTGTTTAAAGTGTTTCTAACGCCATTAGAAGTCATTGACCTGATTGACTGAAAAGACAAAAAATTGAAAGGCTATTGTAGCAAGTATTCCTTCTTGGATATCTTTGTCCTGTCCTTAGATAGAACCATATGATATTTACTTAGCTCTTCCAGCAAGTTTAAGACCAGTTCTGCTATCCATTTCAAACATATGAAACGTAAAAGACAGTTGTTTCTTTTACAAGAAAGTAACTATATGATGCAGAATGGAATAGCTATAGATTAACTAAATAGATTAGAAATTATAATTCTTTAAGATGTAAAATTATTATACAATTTATGAGTCTATTATTATAGTTTTAGTAAACTTTAGGAGTTTGTTCTTATTGGTGTTCATTTCTCCTATTTATTTTAACATTTTCTATTTGCGTTAAGATTAATATTCCTAATATTATTAATATTTTTTTAAAATAAAAAGTGTAAAGTATTATTCACAAGGTACCAAAAAAAGGGTACCACCCATGTACAAAAACATATACAACGAAATTAATGTATCAATAACATCCCCAAAATTCTCATCATTGATGATGTCATAATCTACCACAATTGTCCCAAACAAGTATATCCACCTATCAATTAATCTATTAGAACTACTTTCTATGCTATTAAAATCCCTTCTATTCCGCTCTTTCCAAATGACCTAAAAAACAGTCAAAAGGATGATATTGACAATGTTTCTCTTTACATATAAACCATCCCAAGCCTAAATCTCCCCCTCAACCGAATCCGAAATTACCCAATTAATACCTATCAAACCATAAATCCTGCACCATAGGTTTTCCACAATAGGGCACCACAAAAGTAAATGATTCAAGTTTCTTCCGCTTCAAGACAGGAGTAACAACCATTTACAATAATCCTGCCTTTACTTTTCAGCCTGTCCAAAGTGAGGACTTTTTCCCAACATGCCTCCCAAGCGAAAAAAGCAATGCGAGGAGGAATTTTTGCCTTCCAAATCAGCTTAGCTGGAAAGATTCTTCTGTTTCCAGCACCCATATCAGTTAAGAACTTATAATATGATGTTACAGAAAATATTCCATTCTTTTCCAGATTCCAAAGCACCTGATCATCATTATTCAACACCTGCACAGACTCAAGAGTAGACATCAAATCTTCAAACTCAGCAACCTCCCAATCATTCAAATTCCTCTTGGTAGTAAAGACCCAAACCGTGTTCCCATTTATTACCCTGTAAGCCTCCAAAACAGTCATATCTTTCGACTGAGCAATGTTATAAATGCTGGGAAAACACCTCAATAAGCTGCCATCACCAATCCAGTCTTCCTCCCAAAAATTTATCTTGTTACCTCTGCCCACCTTCCACTTTATACACTGATTAAACGAATGTCACTGCATCAAAATTTTCCTCCACAGCCCTCGCCCATGAGGGACAGTAATTCTGCCAAATCTTCTGGTTGTCATAAATTCACCCCATCTAGCTTCAACAATCCTTCTCCACAATCTGTTTTCTTCCCTCCAATACCTCCATAGCCATTTGCCTTGGAGAGCTTCATGCAATTTAACCATGGACCGAATCCCCAATCCGCCATATTGAAGAGGAGCTTTGATGTCATTCCAATTAACCAGATGATATTTCCGATCCTCAATCCCATTGCCCCACAAAAAACCTACACTAGATGCTTTCCAATTTTTTTGCCACCTTCACAGGAATAGTAATTGTAGATAAATAATATATAGGAATGTTAGCCAACGTACTTTTTATTAAGGTATATCTCCCACCTTTAGATCAAAAATCTCTTTTCCACCCTACGAGCCTCCTTTCGAACATATCTAAATCCTATATTATTAATAAATAGTAGAACTAACAAGATCAAGAATACAACTCCTAATAAGATAGGAAACTAATATTAATAATATTAGGAAAAGAGGTTTTAGATTATTAATCAAAATCTCATAACTAAATCTTATACTGGAACCATAAAATTGATATTAGAGCCAGAAGTGACGGGTGATTTAAGTCCAATTTCTGAATCTTTTCTCAAAATTTACCAGAAGGATCAAGAGCAAAGCTGTATCAAGTTCGACTCATTAGCATGTTGCTCGGATGAAGTTTTTAAAGAACTTTAGGCCGGTAGAAGCACACCAAGCTTATAAGGAGGAGGCAGTGTCCAACATGGTCATCGAGAGCGCCACACCATTAGTCCTGCTGCAAAAAAAGGGGGCAATTTCATGCCAAAGTACACCAAACTTAATTTCCTGAGTAAGAAACATGATACGGTTACTAGAGGGTCTCAACATTAGGAAATTGACCAAACTGATAGACGCACTTAATGGTGTTCTTATTGGACCCAAAGTAAGAAACATGATTCAGATGATGGCACTGTGAATCTGGTGCAGCCTTCACCAGAAGAATGCACTCTAAAGAGAAGAAAAAGAAATAATGGAAGAGGAAGATGATGACGATGATAACAATAACGAAGAAGAAGACAATAATAACAACAACAACAACAACAAGGAAGGAAATCAACAGAGCAAGAAAAAGCACAACTTAGCTCCTTTAGCAGTGCTACGTGTCTCTA